CCTACTTATACATGTTATAAGCCTCATGGTGATAGTCAGTAATTTATCTGGAGGAAAATGAACAAGGAAGATACAAAAAGTGAAGGTAGTCTTCAGTTCCAGAACAGACATAGTTGTCAGAAATTTTTTTTTTAATTATCTGGTTTATCCGTTCAAATAAAGACAGAAGAAATCTATCTATTACTAAAATATAACTGTTCTGAACTGCATTTTATTTAATAGACGTATAGCACTGTCAACATGTACAATGTACCTGACAACAACCAAGCAACAATCTTTTAGTTCACAAGTACAACAGCTTGATCCATATGTGATCCAAAATGTGCAGAATGCTATTATGGTGGGAGGTTCAAATTCACTTTATACTTCTCTACTTTGAATATTATATCCTATATCACCTTCATTGCTGGTGATCATCATGTCATGTACATGTAAAACTTATTTTTAAACTTCTATAAATGGAAACCAGATTGGTCAAATATGTCTTCATAACGAGTTGAAAATATGGAATGTCTTGGACTAGGTACTGTGGCTTCCAAAGATTTAAAGATTGTCTGATGGTCTTAAATCTGTATTGTATATGACTGTTACATGTATAAATGAAAAAGGCTTTTATATCTTTGCTTTTGTACAGACATCATTGACATTTATATTAGCAAACAATTTGCATTTCCTGGCATATCTATTTGTTTGGCGGCTGAACATTTCCAAATGCATGTTTCATGTTTTTCACATCCTTTTTAGTTTTCTGATGAAAATGCTGTTGCTTCCAGTTGATACAGATTCTATAGCTGAGCCTGTGCCTGGCCATTTCTTTATGTCTAGCATGTGTGTGAATTATTCACAGTGACTCTCAATTTCATTTCCCCAAACTTTCTGTGTCTGATTCCTTTCAATGAAGCTATATAGACCAGGGAAGAATGTCTGCTCCTGAAACATGTGAAATATCAATTTAAATATATTTATGGAATATTCTGATTTCAAAACAATGCTGACTCCATTATAAAGCTTATTTAAGATTATTTAACATCCGTTTCAGAGGAACTCATTTAATTTTTTTCTTTAATAATTATTACTAGCTTTTCCAGACTAAAAGATGAAGAAAAAATGTACATGCATGTTTGTTTAGGTTTTCCCTACCTACATGTACATACCCTGTTACTTAATACTAGTGTTTATTCAAACACATTTTAATTGATATGTTCCTCTGGTTAATGACTGAATGTTTTATTAAATAAATGTTACTTACAGATATACATGTAGGTTATCTAAAAGTAAATTTATAAATTGACACTGTGAATCCATTTCTAGGATCCACATCTTCTTATCTTTGAACATTTTTTGGGGAAATAAAAACACTGGCCCTTGAGTAATCCTTTTTGGGATTAGTCCTTGAGGTGTGGATTCCCTAATCAAATTTGTACGTACATGTATTTATTATCAGAATCTGTACACAAATCTTTAAACTTGTATTTCATTTCATTTCATTTCACATTTTTTACTTTTTGTTTAGCATCATCATTTCCAAACATTAATCTTATAAGATACCTATTGATTTTGTTTGATGGTTGGTTGTTTTCTGAACAATTTAACATACATGTATGTACTATGATAGAGATAGCCTCGTCTGTCTTGTTCTATATATTGATCAAGTATATGTATTAGACATGTTGAATTTAAAGATAGAGTATTCTATCAGTCAAGAGCATAATTACTTAATCAAGTCTTCAAACTTATTTATACTAGTAATGTTACAAATGAAAACAAAGCAGTGGCGGACCCAGAAATTTTCTTCATTATGGGGGCCTGTACAGCCATGCTTCAGTGATTCCCTATATAAACAACCAAATTTTTCCAAAAAAGGGGGCCTGAGCCCCCTGAGCTCCCCCTCTAAATCCGCCTCTGCAAAGTTACTCAATCATGTAGTTAAAGCTAAATATTTGAGTATAAAAGACTACAATAAATAGGGAATGTGTCCATAGGACACAGATGATGCCCACTCTTGCAGATCATATAAAGTTATAAAACGACATAACTGAAGAACGGTAAAAGTGATGCTTCCCAAATTTGTGCTTGATCTGAGTTTTTTTGGTAATAAGTATTGTGTATAAGTTTCATAACATTTGGTTGAGGCAAACTAAAGTTAGAGATTGAAACGAAAAATTCAGCAATTATACCATTTGTTCTGGAACGGTTAAAGTAACACTTTTTGCCTCTTTCAACTGATTTTTATAGTTCGTTCTTATATTGTACTGTTACACCACTGTCCCAGGTTAGGGGGAGGGTTGGTATCCCGCTAACATGTTTAACCCTGCCACATTCTGTATGTATGTGCCTGTCCCAAGTCAGGAGCCTGTAATTCAGTGGTTGTCGTTTGTTTATGTGTTACATACTTGTTTTTTGTTTGTTTTTTTTTACATAAATTAGGCCGTTAGTTTTTCTCGTTTGATTGTTTTACATTGTCATTTCGGGGCCTTTTATAGCTGACTGTGTGATATGGGCTTTGCTCATTGTTGAAGGCTGTACGGTGACCTATAGTTGTTAATTTCTGTGTCATTTGGTCTCTTGTGGAGAGTTGTCTCATTGGCAATTGCAATAATACCACATCTTCTTTTTTATATGTACATAAACAGGATGAAGTTATTTTTCTCACAAAGCATTAAACTAATATTTAATGAACACTGAAACACTAATTGCCATTCTGACCCACTGTAGCCGAGTCCAAGAATAGTGAACAATTAATTTCTTTCTTGGCAGAAAATTTCCCCTAACAATTATCTGGAGCACCACATGATATCAACATGTATCAGTGTGTGACAGAAGTAAAAAAAGTATGCTGATATTAAAACTTCTTCTGCATGTGCTGGCATAAGTATACATGTATATCTTTGCAAGTACACAGTAGAATATCATTAATAAGATGACATTATGATTTATATACTATTACCAATGAATTTAGATTTATCTGATCCCATATCTTCATTGACTTTGTAAATTATAATTTTTTGGTAGGAGAATTAGGAGAATGAAGACTTGCAATGTATTTTCTGGGATATTGTCATGTTTTTTTAAAGTACACTGTGAATCCTCCACACAGATTTTTTTTAATAAACACTCGAGAAGTTGCCCAATGATAGAAAAATGTCAACCTTTAATACTCTATTTTCGAGAATTTACCTTTGAATGCAGACTTGATTATCGGGTAGCAGATATCTGGTATGTAAACTCTTTCCATAGCCCGTTTGAAGCATGTTGGAAGCCTGACCATGCAATCTTTGATTTCCAAAATTTGTCTCTTCTCAAATTTCAATTCTTTCAGTTTGTACTAAGGCAAAATTTCAGTTAATGCATTTTCTATGTTGTTTTTCCATTTCTACGTCGCCATCTTCAACATGTTCCTAGGTCGCGTTTATAAGGAGCATTCTGATTAGTCGATATAAATACTTTCTGGGGTCAAATATTACGTTATATAAGGTCACAAAAGTGAAACCTTGTAGGGTACTTGTTAGATCTTCGTATGTAGTATAACGTAGTATAACGAAATCCGAGATCTATATTTTAATTAGATTGATGGATCTGTTAAATGTTGCATGTTTCTTGTGAATCTGGAAACACTGCTACACGGTAATATTCATATAGTTTGTCCTGGACTTAGGTTATGATATCATATATCATTAAGATATCATTATACAAACTAAAATTTGTTATGTGTCAAGAGTCAGACACTATCATGACCAAAAGACAAACAGCATTGAACAAAACAATACACAGAAAAAGAAAGATAAAGCAACATTTTTGAAGTTATACTGATATACTGAAATTTCATACTACCACTAGGTCGTTCCGATGCTGGTAGACTCAGTCTCAGAACGTAGTATTTACCTAGGAGCGAATGATTCGGTACTGACAACTTAAAAGATACATGTTTACTGTAACTCAGCATTTTTTAAATTATGGAACTAAAGATTAAGTTTTATCCCTCTCATGGAAAGTTGACATGTTGTATTCGATATCTTTTGGTTGTTTTTCTTGTATTTGGCAGCTCATTCTTTTACCCTCGAAAGTATGTAATGAATTTTTTTTATTACTCTTCAACGTATTTTAACAGGAGTAAGTGACACAGGTGTAATTAGTAACAGGAACTGATGAGTTCTACCCATGTCGTGTTCGTAGCTCAATGTAGTTTTCTGTTTAATGTCCTATGTTCTATGTTTTATGGACTGTCGATAGTTTTGGCCATGGTGTTTTTCGTGAGCGTCACGGCATAATTTGACTACATGTACAAAAAATTGTTGTTAGATAAACGGTTTATCGAGAACTTCTTTTTTTAAGAAGTTTCGTTCCAACTATTAATGAAATACACAAGACGGCCCATTAATCAGTAGTCTTATTTTAAAGGGCAATACTAAAAACAAATTTTAAAAACAGTATTATTATATATATATGTTATGTTTTAAAGGTTCCTGCTTAAAGAACGGGAGATATCGATTTCAACTAAAATGGTCAGCCACTTGTGTCTTTGGTATCAGTGGTTTTGATTTTCAGTGAAATCTTTGTTGACATGAAGTCATGTGCACTTCTTGAAAGACATCTAATTATTAGCTAGTATTTGATAAGTAAAGTTTACCTCAGAAGTTGGCAATTTTGTTTGGTCTCGTTTGATCATATAGCTGTTTACTTGTTTAGGTCTTTTACATCCTTTAATTTCAAATATTAGATATTTAGGTACCAGTAAAGTCGTCTGATCTGTTATTTTCCCGACAGTGTTCTATTCCTTATTGTGACATTTCGACTGCGTGTGGAATTGCATGGCGGGTAATGCTTTCATAGCAGGAGACCCATACCCTGTCGACGCACCCGGTTTCGCTTCTTTTTGAGTTCATGCAACCCCTCCCCCGAGTTTTTGTTTGTTTCTTTTTAATCGATTAAATAGATTTGATACTTTCGCCTTAAGCTATTGGAACAGTATTGTAATGTTTAATATATTTTTTTTCATTTAGCAAGAAGAACGAAAACGGAACTGCTGTTAACGAATGCGAACTAGAGACATTGACAGAGAAAATATAGAAGTTACTATATATGGGCCATTCATTCATGACCAAATGTGATTAGTTTTCCTCTTTAAATATATATATCACTGATACATTGAATTAATCATTTTAACATTAAATTGAAGCAACCTATATAAGGGTAAATTCGTAAAATAATAGGCTAACCTGTGCTTTCAAATAAATAAAAACATGATATCAAAATACAAATTGTGCAATTAACTTAAGATTTTGGTAATTAATGACGATTTGATTACAAAATGATCAAACTTATAAAAATATTAAATACAAAAATACGATTAGGTGTGATTTCAAATTGAGACAACAATCCATAAAGACATAAGGAAAAAAAATGTGAACAATAACAGGTCACTTTACAGCATAACATTGTGCAAATCCAATACCATATAGTAAGCTATAAAATATTCCGGTATGACATTATGTGAAACAATTTGAAAGAGAAAACCAACGACCTGATTCAAACTACATCAATGAACGAGAAACGAATACGGCAGCCACTGGATTAAAACTTACTGACTTGGGACATGCACATAAATAATATGTCGGGTTTTAACATGTTTGTGAGCATTCAGCTTTATCCCTTACCTGTACAGTGGTGTAATAACACAACATGATAACTTTAACAGTTGAAAAAGAGCTCGACTCAATAGATTTGTATTAAGCACAAAAGCAAATAAACGAGATACAATGTAGCGACCTAAGAGCACTAGCACTTAGTGAAAATAAGTTCAAGGCCTTATTTTAAATAATTAATAAAGCATTCACTACAAGATTAAAATGTCAATGTTCTTTTGAATTCTTAATATATGAAAGATGTCAAAATACATATTGGCTCGTCTATCCTGATGTATATGATGAGTTATTTTACAAAGTACAATCAACCCTTGTCTCATCCAAAATATATTTTTTCAATTAATCATTTTGTTGTAGTCTAAATAGGAACATGAATGCTAGAGGTATTGATTAATTTTAAGAAGTCAAATTTTTCATTTTTTTTTTTTATTTCATAAGAACTACGCTTAATCTTTTAACATTTGTAAGGAAATTGGTGACTGATCTTGTAACATTAGAAATTTTATTGGTAAATTTAAAAAAGGATTGACTATAGTAACACATATTTCAAATATCCACATAGTTAAAACTATTATTTTTTGGAAGTATAGGATTAATCTAAAACAAATTCTCAAATAAACAGCGTGTCTAAGATCTTTGATAAAAAAGACATTTCCTTACTATCTAGTTTGGGGCCAAATTCATCGTCGGCTCTTATTTTATCTGCTAATTAAGCTATAACAATGTGAAATCACATCTTTTTGAAAGCTTATTATAAAATTGATTGGACATCCGTCAGAAAACTTCTCGTTTCTTACTTGTCAGATAGCAATTAAAGGGAATAAAAAGCTTCGAGGTTTATTTTGGAAACCTATTTATCCATATGTACTGGTTAAAAAAATGACGTTGACAAATAAATAACATCCATGACATATTTATATGTATATATGTGCATGTGTGTATTCAATGACTTGTTTCTGTAATAATAATTTCAAATCATGGATACCAAAAATACAATACTTATTAATTGAGACATTCATAAATCTTTTGAATTTTCTTTATTTAATGTGTACTCGATAATCCACTTAGACATGTGGTTAATGTGGTCTCCAAAATGATGCAAGACTATTGAACACTTCAATTTACAGAACATTTTATATTTGGTCATGTATGATTAATGATTTACACAATGAAAAGTAAGAAAAGCGTTGTTGAACATACACTATACATGACTATACATGTACTCTTGATACCCAGTATTTACCAAATAATGTGTGCCGTATGTTAACCTTGTTCATATTTACTTGATATATTATTTGGGAAAAACAATATTTGAATAATATACTTTTTAGTTTGAGTATGTAGAGTATAAAAACAGGGTCTACATCAGTTTGACATCTAAGAATCGCCCAAGACTAAAAAGGAGGCATTATTCGGTAACTGAAATAGCAAAGATGTCAAATTCTCGAATCTTTTATAGATAATAATGTTATATAATTTTCGAACTTTCCATTATTTTTCAATAATGATTTTACTTTTTTATTTATTACAGGATTTTTGTATTATTTTAATGATTTGATGCTGCTTTAATAATATAAAGATTTACGTTATATGTGTCTGTAGAGATAATCTTATGTATAGTTCGATAGTGTTTCAGTCAGTGTAAATTCACTTAGAATCAGTTAAAATATAACATTTTAGTGCACCATATGAATTACTCATTTCAATATCAAGTAATCGCCATGAGCAACTCTGTGTTACACTAAAATTGATTTACACTGGTAATATAATTAGCTTCTCCCTCTAGAGACAAATAACTAAATAATTTACTACAGAGACCTAGAGGGCAAACCTTTTTAAAAAGCGAGAAAACATTTTTTTTTATAGATTTATAGAAGTCAATGGACAAAAGCATAATCATAACATCCAAGTTAACTCCATTGATATGTTTTCATCATCGCATGCAATGGTATCATGAATAAAATTTGTATATCATAAAGACATCTATTATTAAGACCAGGAAGAAATTGCTACGATATTTTTACAAACAAAAATTACATGCACATAATCATAAAGTGTTTTTTAAGCATTTCAGGCACATTAAGTGTGCATTCAAGATTCAATTGTTTAGTCAAGTCTCACCATCTATAGGATATGTATAATTTTAATTCTGCATACTTAAGTAAAATTTAAATCTTTCATTGCAAAAGGATACAAAATATATGAAAATAATCACTACAAACAGTTTTGTTTTTCGAGTTATTAATTTATTTATTATATGTTTTGTTATATGTAATTATTACTTTGTTTACTTCTTAGTAAAGCATATTGTATTAAGTTCACTTGCTTGATTGTTTTTCTTTTTTTCTTTATCTAGTTACCTGTAGTTGTCAATTATGTGTATTTTTTAAAATTATAACTATATGATAATATTTCTTTATTTGTATTTATCAAACATATATTTATAGTTTTTTCCCTTCACAAATTCTTTACAAGTAAGAAAGGTAATATATTAATATGGAGTGGAGAGAGAGGGAGTTTGTGCAAAATATATTTGTTTTTAAGTTATTTGTTTTTATTTCTCTAATAACATAATCGTATTGCTAAACTACTTTCATGTTGTTTTTTTTTTTTATCTTCGTCGTAAGAGACAAAAGCAGGAGTAGTACCAGCTTCATTTCGTCCGTTTGTCCGTCCAACATAATTTAGGGTAACTATTTTGTGTCATGTGAAGCTTTTATTTTTATGCCCCAGCGACAAAATCTCGAGGGGCATATTAATTTACCCCTGTCCGTCCGTCTGTCCGTCCGTCCGTCCGTCCGGATTAGGATATATTGATTGTCCGGCTATCTCCTCCTACAGTTTTGGAGGTACAACTTTTATATTTTGTAGGATGTTCATACACATAATGAAGGTGTGCGAGGCCACAGGATTTTGATTTTTTTTTCAAATATTCTGAAAATGACAGGTAGTAGGACTTAGTCATTTTTTTGGTACTAGCTGCATAAAGAGATCATGGTTTGTCTGGCTATCTCCTCCTACAGTTTTGGAGGTACAGCTTTAATATTTTGTAGGATGTTCATACACATAAAGGAGGTGTGCATGGCCACAGGATTTTGATTTCTTATAAATATTCTGAAAATGACAGGTAGTTGGACTTAGTCATTTTTTTGGTACAAGCTGCATAAAGAGATCATGGTTTGTCCGGCAATCTCCTCCTATAGTTTTGGAGATACAGCTTTAATATTTTGTAGGATGTTCAAACACATAATGGAGGTGTGCATGGCCACAGGATTTTGATGTTCTCTTTCAAATATTATGAAAATGACAGGTTGTTGGACTTAGTCATTATTTTGGTCAGGCGGGGGCATCATTTGTGTCTTACAGACAGCGTAACAGTTTCAAGTTGTATGCCAACATCACTGTTTGTCAAATCTAAAGTATGTGGAACTATACTCATGCATATGGCAGACCAGAAAAGGGGGGATGTCCATATCTAGTTTGTTTGTGTTTCAAACATTTATAAAAGCGGAATAATGATATAATATTTCGCTATTACCAGTCAGTTGGGATCACATTTGTCAACATAAGTTCAAAAACATCGATGATGTAGTATTGGCTTGCAAGTCAATAATTAAAACCATTTGAATCTGCATTCATGTGACATCTGATTTAACTTTTGTTGAAGATGGGTTGCGCATGTGTTCACCATGTACAGTGATTGTCAACTGAAAAAATGAAATTAGGGAAGAGAAAACACTATTTTGTTGATTGATTTGACATGCAAAATCCAGTATTATACAGGTTATGAATAAATGATTTACTGTAACATATTTTTATCTATTAAATGAAATCAAACAGAACTAAAACAAAATCGACCTTATACTGTTATCTATGCTGACCTGTCCAATTATATTGATAATTATAACGGGGTCACATGCCCATCAACCGATTTTGTTGATCATGTCGATAGTTATTTAGATGCAGTCCAACAATGTCTGAATTGTTATTTTAACTTTTTAAAAAGACAAATAGTTCACCGATATTCCAATATCGTAGATTCATTTACGAGATATACAAATCCAGATAAAAACAACAATGAGGGAATTGGATGTACCTTAAAAGGAGTAAGACGGGTCTGGACAGGGTAATTACTAGCTGAGATGTGAGAATATTGAATATGCAATATAATGTCATTTTTTGGTCGTAACGTTAACATTGGACGAGTTCACACTTATATAGGACAATTGTTATTGTAACTTGTACTTAGAATTGCCATCTTATTAATAATTAATTGGATCAGAACAATTATTTGCATATGACTTATTGTCGACGACCGCATGCCCTAATAAACACGTTAGCTGCTTAGCGGTGGCAAACTTAAATTTTCCATGTGATTTTCTATTTAAAGGCCATGCACTTTAATACATTTTACACCGAGCCCATAACCCAACTTTTAAAAGAGGACCACTAAAAGCAAGAATTTTCTGATCGAATATGAAATAAACACTCCATATACATGCATTACCACTTTTTATTCCACGAAACCTGATGCACAGCTAGACTATTCTTTTTGATGGGTTGTTGTTTTCCATTGGCAAATTGTTCATGCATATTCAGGACGAGAACAAA